TATTTTCTCTAGCATAATATATACTATGCTATTATTTTATATCTTAGTGGCTAAAATATAATGTATTTTAAAGTTATTCAATGGTTCAACTTCGACCAACTCAATTAGTCCAATTTTTATAATTTCAAATATATATTATGTAATTATTTGATATCATAATGATTAAATTATAGTGTATATTATAGGGAATCGTTTGGTATTTGTTAGTAAAAAACTAAACAGAAAGATCTATTTGGTTATTTTTAACATTAAAACGATCCTAAACATTTTCAGTTTCCTTTCGAAATTCTATAGTTTTATTCCCGAATCAGTGATGTGCAAATGGTGAATTGCAGTCATCTCTTTTCTTTTATTATTTTTTATTTTCAAATATAAAGTTTAAAAGTAAAGAATAATTAGAGTTTGGCATGGGTCGGTCAAACAAGCTGCATTTCAAGTTTTGGCCCATTTTGATCAAGTCTAATTTATAATCACATGGTTATCTGATACCCTATAAAAATCTCAATCCAAACCAGTTTGGCAGGTGAGTCCGTGTTTACCACCATTTTCTAGGGATACGGGAACGGTGGTTCCTATCCCAAATCGTGCTGTTCATTCTTGATTTCTTTAGATTTTATCATGGCTTGGCAAAAAACCAGAAAGCACAATGATGAGAAGATGAAAGTTTTATAAAGCAAATTAATCGGCCAACGGGCCGAGTAAAAGCTAGCAACGATTGTGAGATGCTCATTTCCCGAAAATCAGCGGGATATGCGATTTTTTATTCGATTTTCTGGAATTCGGTTTCTATAAAACTTACTCCACCTCATCATATTACCAGAAACAATATTGTTTCACAAGGTAACATGTACTTGATTTTGGTTCATAAGACTGATTTTTGATTCGTTGCATCATTCATGTCTCTTTTCTACTAAAATTCACTATTTTTATCACGTGTTTCCCAAAAAAAAAACTATACAACAATAAACTATACATCCCATTACATTATCAAATTTCATACCTCATCTACGTCCGGCCAAATGGCCGGGGCCCACACTAGTTTTAAGTTAGGGCGAAAAAAGTAAAATTAGAGCGATGTTTAGCCATTCGGTAAAAATAAAAAAAAATAAAAGAGAGAAAAAGAGAGATAAGGGACAACAATAGGGTTGAGTTCTATTTAAAGTATAATCAAGGTGAACGATTAAACTTTTGCCGGTAGAATATATAGCGGTTGAAAATTTTAAAATATGTTTTAGTTCCCTTTTCTTTCTTTCTTTCTTTTTAATAAGATTTAGTTTCCTTTTCTAAATCATACACTAATATTTAAATAGTTTTCGAAGTAATAACGGAAAGATAATAGAAGCAAGAAGAAGAAGGGGGGAAAAAAGGTTAATTAAGGATAGCAATACATTAATAGGGTTGAGGCATCTATATAAACCGTCTGGGTCGAGGGAGATACACAAGGCAGCCGGCTGCATTAGGGTTTTGGAGCTTCTGCTTTTCCGATCTCATCAATTTCACAGGTTGGTTGCATGATCTTATCTTTTTTTTTTTTTTTTTTACTAAGTAAAATTACCATGGATGACCTAGTTTTCCATTCAGTAAGATTATTGATTCAGATCCACCTCCCGTTCAACCAAACCATGAAAACGACCGACGACGACCTCTATTGCAAGAAGTATTTCAGGAAGGGGCTGACCGTTTCGACATCCTCCTTCTTCCTCACCAAACTATACGTAGTGCCACGCCGCATAGCAACCTCGGCGCCGATCTTTCTCTCGCCTTTCTTCCAGATCTACGTCATGGCGGCGGGACTCGCGCTCCAGGCGTTGGTGGAAGCCCTAGTCCGCCCCCGACCCGACAAACCGCTAGGCCGGCGGATCAAGCTCCTGCTCGATCTCGCGTGCCTGCAAGCAGCCCTCCTCGCGCGACACTACTACGATTCCGCCAATTTCTCCGATCGCGACCTCACCAACAGGCTGCTCATCATCCGGATCGACCTCTTCTCGCTGGTTGTCAGCGCCAGCGTGGTGGTCTACGGCGCGTTCTTCGCGTTCCTGTGCTCTCCGGACGTCAGGGTCCGGAAGGATCTGCTTGTCGTCGTGCTGATGCAGAGCCTTGTGTACTGGATTCCGGACGGGTTTATGGCCATGGCTTTGGCGATTCAGTGTTGTGTTTTGCTCATATGTGTTAGGTATCACCGGTACCAGTACTCTGCTCTGCCGACTCCTCCACCTCAAAGTCCGGAGAAGAAGAAGAAGATGAATTGGTTTGTCGAGTTGATGGCCAGGCTTGGTGGGTTGGGCTTGGTTGTTTGCCTTTTAATACTTTTTATTAAGCCTGCTTTTGAGTCACTTAGTATATGGGACTTGACCATTTGACAACACTATATTTGCTGTTAGTAGTTGCTGGCTCTGAGGGGTTATGGGTGAGTGACCAATTTATCTCTTGGTGGTTAGAAATGTGATCATTCAAGAATCGTTCATTTCATATATTTCTTTGTCCCCTTACACCTGTTGATCGGTATATCTGGCATTTTGACTCCCAAGGTCTCTTTTGTCGTGAAGTCCGTTTATTATCTATCTTGCACTAGAAACCTACACAGTCACAGACCCAGTCCGTGAAGATCTTAAAAACATGGGCCTCAAAATGTGGAAAAAACATGTCGTGTATGTGATTCGGGTGAAGGGGAAGGTCGTACACACGTGTCACATCAGAGTAGTAGTTTTTAGTTAATATATCCACTCTAACCGAACTAATATCGGCACATCAGAGTAGTAATTTTTAGTCAATATATCCAATTATTATCGTAGTAAAGAAAGACTGTATCCAAACGGAGATCAATGATATCCATGTAAAAATATCTATAATCCCCCGACAAATAACTAAAACGTACAGTTAAATATCCACCCTAACCGAACTTATATCGACACATCAGAGTAGTTTTCTTAGCCAATATATCCAATTATTATCATACTAAAGCAAGAGTGTATCCAAACACAGATAAATGATATCCCTGAAAGGTATCGGAAACAATAACCAATCGAGAAACGAAGTGAGAAATGAAATCTTTGGTGATTGTTCATCCGGCGGATGCTGTGATGATCCATCTCCTTGACGAGACCTCGATGCAACCATTTTGGATCTCTTCCTCACGGGTTGTTCCTGAAACACAGCTATATATTAAGAAAAATATCCATAATTCCCAGACAAATAACTAAAACACACAAAACAATATCCATCCTAACAAAACTAATATCGACACATCAGAGTTATAGTTTTAGCCAATATAACTAATTGAGAAACGAAGTGAGAAATGAAACATGTGGCTGTTGTTCATCCGGTGGCTGCTGTGATGATCCTTCACCCTCATTGTAGGGCTTTGGATTCTTTTTCGGTCTCCCCATTCACTGAACCAATATCCACAATGACCAGAATAAGTCTCTTGATATCCAGAACAAGTATAGGAAGTGACAAAACTGATATCCATGTAACCTTAAATCAAGGAATCGACAAACGATACCCAGATTCCCCAAAATCGAATCCAACAAACCCTAAATCAGATAATCTGGAAACAATATCCACAACCCCCAAAATGAAATTTGAGAACCCCTAAATCTGGTAACCTTGAAATAAAATCCACAACCCCAAAATCGAATCCAAGAACCCTAAATCTACAAATCGAGACGAAACCCATAACCCCCAAATTTGAATCGCACGACACCTAAATATGGTAATCTAGAAACAAAACCCTAAGCACCCATATTCGAATCCATGAAACCCTAAATCTACAAATCGAGAAATGAAACCCTAAACCCTCGAATCGCATGAACCCTAAATTTTGAAATCGATAAACGAAACCCAGATCTCAACAAAAAAATCCATGAAACCCTAACTTAGTATCCACAAACAAAATCAACAACAAGGAGAGGAGAAGACGGCAACCTGAACAAAAGCGTCCTCCTTGCAGTCGTCTTCTACCTCCCACTACCGGCAGCAGCGGTGTCTTCGGCGGCGCCTTCCTTTTTCGTCGGCGACTTCTTCTTTCTTCAAGGACAGCGAAACCCTTCCAAAACTTCTTCCTCGTCGGGAGAAGAAAAAACGGAGAGAGGGAGAGGAACAAAATGTTTATGGAGACTGGAGAGAGTGGAGAGAATGAAAAACGCGGGTTGAGGGAGAGAGAGAATAGGGTTTGGGTATGAAAATTTTGGGATTTTTTTTCAATTGTGGGCCCACTTTTCCCAATAAAAAATGGCTCGGCTTGGGTCTGTCCGAGCTGGCCCTCTCTTGCCCATCACACAACGGCACCCGCAAGCCCACTCCCTCCAATCATGGCTTGGCGACGCGACCTGAAATCCGACCGTGTTAGTATCTACTAACCACTTACCGAGTTAGTAGAATAACCATATTGTTGCTCCTCTGCCTCTCTCAACGTTTACCCCAAACGCTCCCCAATAACAAAGCTCTCGCCGGCCACCCACCGTCCGCCGCCGCCGCCTTCGTTATTTTTTTTCTTCTTCTCGTTCTTAACTCCTCCCTGTCTCCTCTCTGTTCTTTGTATATTCCTGCCTTTGCCAGCTCCGTTTCGTATCCTTCTCCTTCGCCGGATCTCGTAAATTCCTTCCAAGGCTGGCTTCTCTTTTGCAGCTGTCTGGATGCTCTTAGGCATCCATTTCTGTGCAGACCCAGATGGCGTATTACTCCATCCATGGATATCATTCGATGGGGTCTCGGCTCAACTGCTGTGCGAATTATAGAGGAATACATTTACAGTAGGCCTCAGGTAATCCCCACTTGTTTTCGCCCTTATTATATCAATGGTGTTACAAACCTTTTGGTATTTATAAACAGAGCAGGCTAACTTGTGGTACTTTTGCTATAATAGCGAAACAGGATTTCGTATTTCATTGAACTGATGGAGATGCTCAATCCTAATTCCAAGCCAAAGGTAGGCAAGCGCTTTCATATCCATCACTTCCATATAAAATCAAACTGAACTAATGTCAGGGAAACAGCTGTACCTCAAGGGAGAAAAGAACACCACCAGCGGGAGATTCTCATTCGGGGAATCTACCGATATGGATTCCCTGGCCCCCAAGTTACTAGCCGGGAGGTGGAGGAAGGCCATGCCATTTAAGGAGTTCCCATCGAGCCTCCGTGTGGCGAAGCTTGCTTCGGGTGAGAATGTCGACATCACAATGACGTTTGACGATGGAGAGAAGGGTCGTGGAAATGTGGTTCAGGCACGTGATGTACTTCGGGAGGTCCGAATCCAGTTGCCTCCAGAGATGTTCGATTTGTCGAGGATTGTGTGTGGGACGTTTGTTGACGCTAGGCATCTGGTGCTTCGTGGAGTGAATGGGTCGGCTTTGTTGTTTGCTAGGTCTTGTTTGTATCAGTAAGAAGTGTGTAGATAGCAGAAGGTGATTTGGTTAGAATGAAATTTGAATGTACAGTTTGTGTACATATTCATGTAGTTCAAAACAATCGACATCTCTTACAGATTGCACACGATTCTTGAATTAGAAACGGGCCTATGACCATTCGCATCCAGACTGAACTTTCATGCCAACATTGCTGGCAAAATTTCAAGGACAGAGTTCTGCATAAACCATACACAATCAGCCTGGACAGTAGATGTTACGAAAATGAAGGACGAAGAAGAGAGGACGAAATTAAGTCTCGTACCAAAACTATTTTCTTCTTTTTATGGCAAGTTTTGTACCAAAACTTGGATTTCAGAAATACACAGGAAAGGTAATGTGCAATTTGCAGGCTTCAAAATCCGGAAAGTATGCATGAAGAAAAAAGGTACTGCGCATTAAAGACAAACCTCACTCCATAATGTATACAGTTTGATGACTTTGTATATTTATATGCTAACTTGTTCTAATTTTTTTTCATATATAAACTATAGGGTTAAAGACACATTTGGCCACTGATATTACAAAATAGGGACATGTTTAGTCACTAGAAAAAGTTAATATCAAATTTGGTCACTACAATTACTAAAACTGGACGCATTTAGTCACTCGTCGTTAGTCTCCGTCCAACTCCGTTAATGAAGTCCGTTAAGTGCTGATGTGGCAAACAGAATTGCCTAATCAGCCCGATATTAATCCAACAAAAATAAAACCCGACCCGCCACGTCATTATAACCCGCCACGTCATTAAAACCAACCCAACCCATGACCCAACCCTTCTTCCTCCTTCCTCCCCAACCCAATTTAGGGTTTTCCCCATCCCATCCAAATTCGCTGGGCGGGGAGAAGATCTCTCCGCCATTAATCTGCCGCCCTTCCTTCATCTTCTTCCTCTGTCATTCCCAATTCCAAAAAAATCTTATTTCAACTCTTATTCTTCTTTTCTTTTCCATTGATTCAATGGCGGCTATTGGTTGAGGTATTCGATCCTCCACCGTTGCCGTTGTTTGAGCCTGCTCTGGTGATTGTGGGTTGGACAGAGTTGTGAACTTTTTTTCGGCCTCCTGTCCACAGGCAGTAGAATACTGTGCATATGCCTACGAAACCTCCGACTGATCCGAAGACGGCGAACGACAACAACCCCTTACTCAAGCTTGTTGATGATGATGATGTAGGAGGTGGTGGCAGCGGCGATGTAAGGAATGGCGGTGGAGGGGATGCCTCTGTCGAAACATTGAACCCGCACGGCCTGCATATCACCCCTGAACCGCCGCACCAGTTCTGAGAATCTTCGTACACGCCGCATTCGTCGCAGGAAGAAGATTGGACGCAAGGCCCTGGCAGAATCGGTGGCAGTGGAGGGATCTGATAGGGCTCTGAATTCGAATTCGAAGGCCATCCGGGTCCCCAACAGATTGTCGACAAGTTGTTCGACAAAATGCCGCACAGAAAATTCGACCCAGAGACGATAGACTCGAAGAAGATTCCTTCAATCCCATTGACCACCATCCCTCCATCTCCACCCCAACAAACCACCGACCCATTGCTCCGACGAAGAGCGCAACTGTGATTGGCTCCCAGCGCCAACTGTGAATACTCCAGCGGCGGCGAATTCAGGGGTACATTGAGCTGCCCGGAGGAATTGTCTCCTCTGCAAACCACAAACCAAGTCGAATTCACACCGCATGCGTGAGACCCGCCGGCTTGAACACTCAACATTGGCATGTTCCCAAACCCCAATTCGATTCTCTCTGCAATCGGATCGCTTCCCCCAGCTCCGAATTCTGCTCCCGTTAGCCGAAATCCCGCAAGAAAACCCGTATCCGGATGAAATCGCCATTGAATCAATGGAAAAGAAAAGAAGAATAAGATTTTTTAGGAATTGGGAATGACAGAGGAAGAAGATGAAGGAAGGGCGGCAGATTAATGGCGGAGAGATCTTCTCCCCGCCCAGCGAATTTGGATGGGATGGGGAAAACCCTAAATTGGGTTGGGGAGGAAGGAGGAAGAAGGGTTGGGTAGGGTTGGGTCATGGGTTGGGTTGGGTTGGTTTTAATGAGGTGGCGGGTTATTATGATGTGGCGGGTCGGGTTTTATTTTTGTTGGGTTAATATCCGGCTGATTAGGCAATTCTGTTTGCCACATCAGCACTTAACGGACTTCATTAATGGAGTTGGACGGAGACTAACGGCGAGTGACTAAATGCGTCCAGTTTTAGTAATTGTAGTGACCAAATTTGATATTAACTTTTTCTAGTGACTAAACATGTCCCGATTTTGTAATCTCAATGACCAAATGTGTCTTTAACCCATAAACTATATATTTAATCGTACGTAATAGTCTACGATCAAATGACATTATATTAGGCAAAGGTTTGTGTAAAGGTGACTCCAGATATATACCTTGCTCGAATTTCACGCTGATCACGGTTTAGATGCTGCAACAGTGTAATTACTGCAAAGCTATTATGCATGGTGGACTTTTGAAACGAGGAAACTAAATCACCAAGGCAAGCAACACGTTTTAATAGAGGAATTAGTGTGTCTCTCAACATGCATGGTATTTTTCATTTGGAATTGTTGGATGGTAAGCATTATCGTTCTAATTTGGCGATAAATGTGTTAAGGGAACTGACCTCGCTTTCATGATTCCGCTCCATTTTAGGACTAGATCGGTAGTTTAGGAATCGGTGGTTCAGTTGGTTGGATCACAATATATAAACAAAGCCCCAAATACAGACATCACAATTGTTCATTAAAAGAAAAATGATTTCCACTAACACCGATCACTGTAGCGCAAGACACGTTTACTATTCATACAGACTCAAAATTACTGTTCACCTGCTTCTGATTGGTTGGCTGCTTGGCGTGTGCCCTGATGTTGTCCAAAGGAGTTGTTGGTTGCTTGGCCGCCGGTTTCCAGCTCCTTTACGCCTTCCTTTTGTTGTGTTGGGGTCATCGAGTTTCGCGTCGGCCTCAAATCCACTGTCTGGTATTATTGGTGATGATGGCGAAGGTTTGGAAAGAGTGAAGGTCTGCGTGTCCCAAGGGTTTCTCGGGTATTGCGATCCTTCACATAGAAGTTGAGCGGCCCTTGGACGAGTTGGGTCTTCTGCGTGATGATGGGCGCTCTTTTTCTCGCTTCCCTCTCTTGCTCTCTGCTTTGGGATGACCACTGCCGTCTGTACCTGGCCTGCAAGGAAGTTGAGTGACCATTTTCCCACCACCAGGCGCGGTGTCCGATGGAGGTGATTCAACCCTTCGGTCAATAGGAGAGATGGTTAGAGGCAAATAAGAAACCAGACACCATTCCTTCTCTCCCATTCCTTACTCATACGTTTTTCATTTCTCTCTCAACAGCAATACAGTCTCACCTTATCTCTTCCTCTCTCTCTCTCTCTCTCTCTCTCTCTCTCTCTCGGAGCCGAGGTAGTTCGCCAGGGAATCGTAGATAACCCGCGACTTTGAGCGTCCTTTACCGACGAAGAGAAGATTCGAAGATGGTCTCTCTCTCATCTCGGAGGCGAGGTAATTGTCAGCGACCAGGGAATAGTCGATCACCCGCCAGTTGTGAGGATCCATCTCCGACGAAGCGGAGATCCGAAGATGGTGCGGGGCCAATTCTCAAGCCAGAGCATGCTGATTCTCTTGCCCTTTGATTTTGTCTGGCGAAATCGAGGTGATTGACGGGATGGGGATCGCGAGAACCTGCCGGTGATCATCGTTCTTCTCTCTTCCTCTCTTCTCGGAACTTCGACGGTTTGACCAGACACTAAAGAGCACCGGCTTTCCGGGTTAGTTTGTTTTCTATTTTTCCCCCCGAATGGTTTCGTATCTCTCATTCTGCCTCAAAAGAAACTGTTTCATCTGTTTTCTGACAATATTCTGGCTTTGGGTTCGTTGATAGGATTTTCTGAGAGTTGAGTTGAGCGTCGAATCTCAGCGAAAGGCTGCGGGACCATTAGATTTTTTAGTTCTAATGGTGTTCAGACTGATTCGCAGGTTCCGTTTTAGTTTTTGACGGTTAATCTCTCTGTTCGTGGATGGATCCTTCTCTGTTTGACAGTGTTTTTTCTCCTGTTCAGGGAAAATATCAGTGATTCTTTCCGTGTTTGAGATTCGAACGTCGGCGGCAGTCGTCTGAACTCCAGTCAGAGGGCAGCATACTCGAAGGATTGCTTTGATGTGAAGAGCAATCGAATTATAACCAATGCTCCATCACAAAACATCCAATTAGTTATGCTTTTGTGTTGCGTCTCCCTAATCTTCGAATCTATCATACTCGAGTTTGGTGGTTGCTTGGGTTGTGGATTTTGTAAATTTGTAGATGGTTCGGAGTGCCCAGATTGGCGAGTTTTATGGTAAGTTTCCTTTTGTTTCTATGGTGACTTTGTTCTGTTTTTCTTTGGATGGTTCTTAATCTTCCCGACATTTAAAATATTTCTTTCCTGGTGATATATTCTTCATATAGAATACAGATGCCTCTGCAGTTTCAGTTCAAGTGTCCGTATAAGTGAAGGTTCACGTAGGTTTGTGATGTGACCTTGAAATGCTTCAATTGTCTCCGATTATACCATGGATGCTACCAACCACCAGGTATTCAGTGGTTTGTGTGCAATAATATCCATCTATTCTCTATTCCTGTATTTTTCGGTTCATAATCATTCATTGTTGTTTTGTTTGACATAGTGCGTTTATGTCTCAGCCTTTGAACCGTGACAAGCAACAGAAGATCGAAATATTTCAAATTAGAAGCTAGATCGA